TATAATTATAGATTTCCTGTAGTTTTTGTTTTTTTACCAATGTAGATTTTCTGTAATTTCTAAATTACAAACTTAGAGTTTCTGTAATTACTAAATTACAAATGTAGATTTTCTGAAATTACTTAATTACAAATGTAGATTTTTCTGAAATTACTAAATTACAAATGTAGATATGTAGATTTTCTGTAATAACTAAAAAAATACAAATGTAGATTTTTTCTGTAATTTCTAAAAAAATTACAAATGTAGATTTTCTGTAATTTCTGAATTACAAATGTAGATTTTCTGTAATTTCTCTATTACTACTGTAAATTTTCTGTCATTTATTATTATTACTGCAGATTTGGTGTCATTGTAGATTTTCGATAATTTCTTTATCACAACTGTAGATTGTAATTTCTCTTTAATAACAGGGCAGATTTTCTGTAATTTCTATCAAATTTTTCAAATTTTATTATCATGTTTCTCTAATAAACATATACTAAATATTTCTACATGGATCAGAAATGGGTAAGGTTCTACGACTCTTTACGTTTTATTTTGACAATAATCTAGTTTTACATGTATATTGCACAGAAAATGAACAAAGTGTATTTTGACAACTACATGTATTGCAGATTAACAACTGTTGAATATTGAAAAATAACAAAAAGTAATGATAAAATAAACAAAAGATGATTAACAAGAGCTGTCCGTAAGACAGCGCGCTCGACTTTTTTATTGCTTGCCAATAAAAAAAGTTTTTGCAGTAAAAGGCAATACAAGAATCTCTGTATTTTTAAAGTGAACTAGTTGTTTGATACCCTTGAATATTACAGCAATGTTTATATGACATAATTTATGGTAAAGTGAACAAGTGGATAGGAATGAATTTTTTTAGATTTTTTAAGTTTTTTAGTGCTTGCCTATAATACAAAACATTGACAGTTAAGGGCCATAATTCAAATAAAATCTTTGACAGAATTACCTTCTCCTGGACATGTTTGGGAATCATGATTGTAAACAAGTATTCCAACTTTCAAATTAATATCTCAAACAGTTCAGTCAAAAAGTGGACTGGTACTAAAAACTTAACCAAGATTCTAAGTCGATAAAAGGCCTTAATTTTTAAAACAAATCCTTGACAGAGTTACCTTCTCTTGCGTACAGATGGGGGTAATGATGTGAAATAGCATTAAAAGTTTCAAAGCAATATCTCAAAGGGTTAAGGCAATAAGTGGATTTTACCCATATTCAATGTATTTTCTAAGTCAAAAAGGGGCATAATTCTGTCAAAAACCTTGACAGAGTTATGTCCTCTTGTCTGTTGATGAAGGTCGTGATGGTAAACAAGTATGGTCAGTTTCAAAGCAATACCTCCAATGGTTTTGAAATAAAGTGAGGTGGTACAAAAAACTTAACCAAGCTCAATACACTTTCTAAGTCAAAAAAGGGCCATAATTCTGTCAAAAACCTTGACAGAGTTATGTACTCTTGTCTGTAGATGGAGGTTATGATGGTGAACAAGTATGGTAAGTTTCAAAGCCATACTTGTAATACTTCTGAAATAAAGTGGGGTGGTACGAAAAACTTAACCAAGGTGTGACGCCAACGCCGACGCCGACGCCGGGGCGAGTAGGATAGCTCCCCTTTTCATAGAAAAGTCGAGCTAAAAATTGTATATGTAACAAAAATTGGTACTGGAAGTTAACACCCTCAAAAATGTGTCTAATACCCTCTGTGAAGTAAACAATCTAATAGGACCATAACTCTGTATATCTAAATCATATACAAGAGCAATAACTCTACAAAGTATATCATACGGAAGGGCAATAACTCTGCAAACTATCATTCTCTTATTATTGTAACAATATCATACATAATTAGCTGGTGTCCAATCCACTTATATTTCTGTAATGCATTAGTCAGTTATATCCACGGCTCCTCCAACCCTGGGGAATGGCAGGGTTCTGACTTGAGGATTTGAAATTTCCCTGGTATAGGGCCAACCTGGGGAGACAGCCAGAGACTTAGATTGTAAAATACACAGTAAAATGCAGGCATTGTAATTTGGACCCATCCCTGAATATAATGGCACCAAAACAAAACCACTACAATTAACCTGTCAATGCAGGGACAGACCAAATGTAAACACTTGGCTTAATTCCCCTGCCACTCCCCCACCAGCCTTCACCAGGGGAGTGGGTAGGTTATGGTAATAATAGACTGGTGCATGATGTGACATTGAAATCTGCAACTTTGTTAAACTTTAAACTAATATTGTTCTAAACAAAATACAATATAACATACTAATTATTCACGTATGGATAGATGGGTCTATTAAATAATTGAACTAGCATCTTGCCTATTCCAACTTGATAGAATAACACCAGCACGCAGATCCAAGTTTTTTTTGGACTAGACTATAGTTACTGTCAATTTAATATTCTGATAAAATGACATCCCTGCAATTAATAATAGCCAGAATTTTAATTGTTTATAAAAGTGAAAAGGTATCCTTTAAGCATTTCAAGTCTTTAAAAGCAACCTTATCAGCTTGTATTTTAATTTAAAATTTCTCTCACTGATTTCAAATAAAGGAAAAATATATTCGAAACATGTATACTATATGCATAAATACATAATACTAGATTTCTTAAAGGCACAGAACTGTAAAATTCTACAGTAATCTAAGAAGTTAAATGAACTATATTACAAAGTATTTCACAAATCTTGGCTCATTTTCTCAAATAAAATAACTAATAGTCAGTGTGTAAATTAATGAATTTTGTCAGAATACGAGTGTTAAAACTGGATTGTTTTCAAACTCTTTTAATCATATATGCAATGTGAAAATATCATGTGCAAAAATCATGAGAAAGAATTGTGTATTATTTTAAATTAATTGTTTTCAACCTATTATGTTTACATACATGTACAACCTTCTTGTAAAGAATGAAGACTTTGTGAACATAATAATAGAGACATTAAACAGCAGAAATTTTGCTATTGTTACATTCTAAAGTACCTGTTAAACCAATTTTTTACATAGCATAGCATTATTTAGGAGCCAAGTTTAGTAAAATTGCTTCTGTAAAACAAAAGAGTCATAGAAATTGTTTTAAATTTTTTTAACAGTTTACCCTGTATACATAGCCGTACGTCAACCAAAAACAGGTTATGCAAAACTGTGGCTGGTCACTATTGCAAGATTTAAAGCTCAAAATTAGAAACAAATTCTAATAAGAATGTGTATCACTAGGAATTTAAACAAACAATAATTTTAGAAATATTCAACTTTGACAACCTTTGCTTTCCATAGTCCACCCAGATAATAATTCTAATACTTTAAAATAACTAAGATTTTTAATTGTAGGCTGCTTATAAATGAAACAGTCATGTCTTTGCTATTTGAAATGAATTCAAAATATGCAAATAACCATCACACATTTCAACCATGGCAAGTAATTATGGAAATGCAGAGCACCAGTGTAACCCTTTGGTTTAAACTTAAAAGAAAACAGTAGACAGACTACAAACATTTCAGAATTACATAGAAGCTTCGAACATTTTTTTCAAAAACCATTGCTTTAACCAGTGAACAGTTAACAAAATCATTTAACTTTTGATGCTTTCCCAATGAAAAAAAAATCTATTGTATTATTGATATTGGCTAATGGATGTTTCTGTCATGGTGTATTCACGGGCAAATTTTCTACAGTCCTATATAGCTGACCTATAATTGGCTCCAATCAAACTCAGTAAGTTCAAATTCCAAACCAAAACATCAGTGGTCTTTACCACACTTCTTTTTTCTCAAAAAACAAAATGATAGTTATCATTTTTACAAGTTTATTTCATTCAAGAAAGTTATATTTCAACAGTCTGTTATATTTCATCCAAGTGAGATATATTTCAACAAAGTGAAATATATTTCAACTATGCAAGACATATTCAACTAAGTAAGATTTATTTCAACCATGTAAGATATCATAATGATCCAGTTATCACTTTGATAAATAACAAATAAACAAAATGTTCAAGCATAATATATCACATTAAACCTTAAATACAGTAATGTTTGATTTTCCTATTGCTATCCTCTCATTTTATATAGCCCTCTTAAAAATTGATGGCCTAAGAAACAAAGCATAAAATTTTTGACCTAAACAACTTTAAAGATGTTTTCAAACTGAAACAAATATAGTAGACTGTGTTAAAACACAGAAGAGGGTTTTAAATAATGGAAATAATTCTAGAATATACGTCTCCCCATTGCATTATTTGATGTTGTGTTTAATATTATTGTAGTGCTTTGGTCAGATGAACAGTACTTTACTATACAATACTTTCTGTCTTGTAAAGCACTAAGTTATATAGTTCATTCAGTTAAGAGGAGTATTTCAATGCCGGTAACATGTCACAGTAGTGTTATACCACCATGTTTTACTAAAACATAAAACATGCGTATTTGTTTTGAGACAAAAGTAAAGACACAAGTTTTCAAATTTTAGTGAAGGTAAAGCATGCTCTAGCAATACAGTATAGTCATTTTTTAAACCTCAGTGTGAGATAAGATTTACAGCCAAATTCACATGGACAACGACATAAGTTATATTTGTACTACATGTACATTTTTTATCTGTGGAGATTATTTTTTTCGAATAACTAACATACATTGTGTTCTGCTTCATAAAACACGAATCATTATACACAAAAAACTTTCTACAACCATCCCAAAACTGTCAATAAATAACAAAGTTCTGCTGAGATTTTCTTGAATTGTTACACTATGATCTTGATGGACAAGGTCATTCAAGAGTAAAGGTCAAAGTTCAAGAAATCGACATAAAAAGTTCACCTTGAGAGTTATGTAATGTCCAATTATAAAGAGTTTACATCAGAATCTAGCTTAAAATAATGACAACATTATGGCCAGTGTTAAAGCTGTTTGCAGACAGATAGACAAGAACATAGAAAACAATTAATTTAAGCAGGGGTACAAAATAATACAACAACTGTCATGAATTACTTTATATTTGGATTATTCACTGGGACCACTTTTCACTGTATTAACATTTAAAAGTAAAGCTTAATAAAATACTGTAAAAGAGTTTAATCTAATTAAAGGCAAAGACATATTCCGATATTATACATTATTTTACAGAAACTAAATAATTTGCCTAAAAATGTTTATTTTTTGGTTTCAAATTAAAAATAGTTTGGGTACCATCAAATGCAACAATTCAATGTACATTTATTGAGTTCAATTTGGAAACATTCACTCATTCACCCATCATTTAATTTATAATGTGAAAAATGACAGAAATAAAATGTGAAAAAATGAGATATTTATTTCACAACACAAGTTTTGTGACAACTTTTACAAGGGTTAAACATTTAAAAAACAAAGGCAAAATATTTTAACAGGAAGCTCTCACGAGAGAAGACGACCATCTTTGCATCATGTAGTAAGTCGTAATTATGTTGTTTTTTAGTTAACATGACAAAATTGTACAAAACATGTTGAATGTCAGCACATAAAAGAAGAGCTGCAGTAGTAACTGTGCAGTAGAGTCCATGTGAGACAATCATTTTTGTTGTTGTTACTAACAATCTGTTCTATTTCTACCAGTAGAGAGAAGAAAAAAAAATTAAACGTTTTTTAGAATAGCAAACTAAAAGACTGTAAAGTAAGTGTCAAGGTAAAGAATAAGGATTGCATAAACCAAAAATTTCTTCTAATATTAAGATATTTTTGGCATGACAATTATAAAATAATAACATAACAAGAGATTTTACGAAACATTTTGAATGCCCTGTACATGTACCATACTGCTAGACAACCCTGTTATCACTTTAGTAAAGAATTTCACATATATAACGATGTAACCTAAATGTATATATCGGGAAAAAAAACAAAAAAACAACGGAAACATAAAAGTAAATGAGCAATCAATATTGTTTTAAGCTGTTGGACAGTGTCTCTTCCTGTTACAGACACCAATCCGAGTTGAGTTTGGCAGTAGAATAGGAATCATAATTATTAATCCAACACTTCAGGAAACATAACCTTATTATCTCAGACAAATAAAAAAAGGCAATAAAACTATGATTTTTTTTATAAAAATAACAACACAATTTGTTAAACAAGTCAACACGTCTTTTTCTCATTTTTCAACACAGCTCCAGTTTTTCTTGTGTTTTAAGTTTTAGACATGAGAATCTGATATATTGTCTATGGGTCTTAATTTGTAATTACTATTACTATTAGAATGTGTATCTAGGGCTTGCGACGCGTAATAACTATCTGCAAACACAGCATACACGCGTGTATTCGGTGATGATATGGTCTGATTGTTACAATGAATGTCACTAAGGTGTAACACCGAGTCGGCAGTAGAGAACTGGATGTCGGCACCAGCCACTATAAGATCGTGTAGTATCTTCTCGTAATCTGCCCGCGCTAAAAGGTTCGGCAGGTCACATACCTCCAAAACGTTGCTGATAACCATCCCATTGCCACTGCCTGAAATAACAAGAAATTGCTTCAATTGAAAATTCGTTCATTTACTATAACTAAACAATGAAATAGAATCCCCAAATAAAAAGTCATCACTTGATAGAAACTCATGCTTCAATGTATTTGTTTCTTTGTATAATTACAAATTTGCATTGTCTCTGTAAGATATATGACCTCAACCAAAACAAAATCTGCTAAGAATCCCCATTGCTTAGAAAAATTCCAGCACCACCTATTTCCTTAACTATAAACTTTGTTACTGTTTGTGTTGGTCTCTCTATATAGTGTTTGCCAAAAAAATGAAACATATTTAGAAATAATATACAGTGTGACCCCTATAGAACAGCCCACCGTACAACCAGTAACTTATTTACAGTATCAATTCTTAACACAGTAAGATCTCATTATAAATTTAACTTTGCCAGAGCAACACCTCTCTGCAACAACCACAAGCCTTTGTCTCCTTAACAATGCAGCTGTGTACATTTGTCAGTTAGACATAATTTAGATCAATTAAGACAATAAACTATCTTCTAGTATGCTTTTAAAGCTGCGCGCGTGCCTCCAGATGAGATAAAACATTTCAAGAAAATCAACCTTTAGAAAAATGTACTAAGATAATGTACTAAGATTTTAAGATAAGTAAAAATATTTACAATGCAAGAAATGATTTTCATGTAATGTACAATTGAGCCGCGCCACGACAAAACCAACATAATGGGTTTGCGACCAGCATGGATCCAGACCAGCCTGCCCATCCGCGCAGTCTGATCAGGATCCATGCTGTTCGCTATCAGTTTCTCTACTTGTTATAGGGTTTGCAAGCGAACAGCATGGATCCTGATCAGACTGGTCGGATGCGCAGACTGGTCTGCATCCATGCTGGTGGCAAACCCATTATGTTGGTTTTGTCATGGCGCGACTCAATGACTGATTTTGCAGTATTTATCACCATATCTATACCGTGTGACTAACACAGTAATGACTATTTAGGCATATTCTCAGCTATCTTTGGTATTTTTCGTGGATTTTAAGTAACGTTTGCAATGCCTAAATTACTTTTGTTGTTCAGTTGACAATATTGTACTCTTTTAATTCAATTAAAAAAATTCCATAAAAATTAGCATGAATCTGGAGGCATGCTGGTTTAAACAGACCTTCAATGTCATAACTTAGTTTAGTTTTGTTTTTGGCGACTGGAAATTTCAGGAATAGTTTAGCTTGGTTGATATTTTTTTTACTGAAGCAAACACAATTTACATATTCTTATGGAGATTTATTTTTTTTCAATATAAAACCATTATCATTGCAACATAATATTTTAAGTATTTCATAAATATTGAAAATATTTCCTAAATCATATATAACTACTTTGCTTTATAAATAATTCTAATATGGTGACAAAAGAAAATATTTTTCAATGAAATGTTATTGCAATTCGCACAAATAAGACAATATCATTCTATTTTCTGATTTTTTTCATGAAGCTTTTTTTTATACATTTCTTTACTACCAGATTGTATTACATATTTCGACATCAAACAAATCAAATTTTAATTTAGAGTATTTCAGTAACTATAGATCAATGTACAAAATTTGAATTTCTTATTTTAAGATTGAAAATTGCATTGAAAAATAAGCACATAATTAAACCGTTTTTTACAGATCAAAACATTTAAACTTAACGGCTAAAGGCCAGTCTGGCAATAGGGACATGACTCATTGTTTAATTTGTTTAAATATTTTCAAAATTCAAAATTTTCAATGACATTGAAAATGACCTCGTAAGTTTTTTTATCATATGGAGATGCCTTTCACATAGCAATTATTACCTCCCCTTGTCACCATTTTGGGGGGTTATTTCAAATATTTCGTAGGCTTAAAATAGGATAAAAATCTCACATAATTCTATCATCTTCATGAAAACTCATAAAAATCTTTGACAAATTGGTGCTGTATTATTATTTTGCTGCATATGTTTAAAATAATTTGACAATTAACGTAAATCAGCTGTATATATAGATTTTTCATATTTTGTCAATTATTTTAAATAGGATATTGACCCCAAAAATGATTGCCACTTTTGGCAAGGGAGGTTAATATTGTAAAATTCTGGACCTATCTATTACAATTGCAAATTACCAAAAAACCAACTACCTGTCTTGTATATATACTTGGTTTGGTTTTGTCTATTTCTACAGTGTTAAAGTATGAAATATTGTGTGTAGAGTACCTGTATCTGACTGCTGGGATTGTTGACTATCTCTACTGCGGAGTTTTTTAGTTCGCTGAGGTTTTGGTGCCGTGGGACTACTGGGGAAAAAAAATAAACAGAAAAAAATGTGAGAGAAACACTATATAAGCATACTATACAGCCAAACTGAACCAATACCATTAACAAATCGCAACTTTTAACAAATGTTTTTCAGGTTTGCACTTTTTATGATGCATGCATATGTGTTCTTTTTTGGTGAAGTTCATCTTTGGGGACAGTTACACATACAATGTATATGCAATCTATGTTGACAAATGCAAATGAGCAATATTTGGGGAAAGTTGCATTTGTGTAATCAATAATTTTGTAACATGCTATAACAAATGCATATGTTAAATATTTAGAGAAAGACACAGATGTGTAATCTTAAGGGTCATAGTTGCTTGCAATAATGTGACATTGCATTTTCCACAATAATTTTTACAGCAAGTGGACCCAGGATTTGCTTTTATTTTCATTTCCGTAAAATTCATGTTCTATTCAGTTTGACTGTATATGAAAAAATAAACATTGCACATAATCAAAACATAAAAAGTTTGACATATAACATACTGAGGGAAAAGAATAAAGTGTTGTGTGAAAGAGATTGTGTTAAAAAATGTTGCCCAAGCTTCAAATAAAACAAATTTCCGAAAAAATTAATGAGTAATCAAGCAAAGTAGGAGCCCAAAACACACATACTGTTTTTAAGAACTCATTCAACAAGAACTTAAAAATCAGTAAGAAGAGATAAACATCATCATCAAACATCTTTTTAATTCAATCCCAAACTTGCAACAACAAAATAACCATCCACATCATTCATGTCCACTGACTTTGTCTGTGTAACAGGAGTTTTGATAAGCATGAACAGAAAATTTTTGACAATTCTTTTCCAACAATGATTTGAAGCAAAATGACTGGACAGAAAAGAATATTTATAAGAATCTACAGTTCAGCCATCGCAACGTTTCTGGGCAAGCTGTCAACAAGAACTAGTTGCCATCACTTTTGCAAGGAACTGATAACTTCTGTACATGTCAGAGTCGAGATATGCAAATGACCATAGAAAGGATTTCATGATCAATCACAACAAAAGTGATCTACACCATGTGGTAATGGAACCCTTATTGCCGGATTTACATTCCAATGCTCTACCTATTGAGCTAACAAGATGGGGTACTCCATACTATCTACATTCACCAACTTTATATCCATGGAAAATTTCTGTTCACTTGTTTTTATATCAGTTTATAAGGCTCTTATTACCATCTGTAAAGGTATTTACCAACATATAGCATTTAATAGAAAAACGTAAAATCATTTTTTGCAAGCCTTTTAGCAAATATTTGTATTCTATTCTTTACTTTTCACTCACTTCATGTTAAACATGGCATAAAGAGGCAAGAAATTGTTCAGTAGTTCTTTCATTTAAATTTAATCTCACAATTTCAAGTTTGCAGGAAAACTGTTCAAATATCTACACAATTAATTTCATGACAGGTCTATTTCAAAATAAACCTGACACAATGTCAATTTCACTAAAGCCAAAGTACTCAAAACAAAGCCAAAGTAAATATTCAATCCAATATTAATCGAAACAAAGATTTTTGTCTGGAAAAGGTTTTGCGTACTAAAGTGATGTTTAACCCTTTAATGCATCATAAAAATCAACTAAGCCAGATTCTGTTGGCAATAGTAAATCATTGTAACCAAATAGATCAGGTAATTTTGGAGATACAGCCGAAAAAGATTTTCTATATCAAGTCTATATTGTGCAAAAATAGAAACTAAACAATATATTGTTTTGGGCATTATTGGATATTCTCACTAATGTATGCCAAGAACTATTTTTGTTCTCCTATCTAAACTAAATATGGTAATCTTGATTTATAATTCAATATTCATTGGCTACAAAATGCAGCCATACTATGGTAAGTAAGAGATTTGACAAATCTTATTTCATTTGTCTGGATTCCAGTCATTTTCTCACTATAAAGGTAATATCACATTTTCCCAATTTTATTGAAAAACAACCTACTGAATACCTCTCGTTGCAATTCCTTGAACACAAAGTACCACCTTTAACTAATAAATCTTCATTTGAACCCACATACAGTAAAACTATAGGAAATCAAAACTTTTCATGATAAGAGGGGAGTTTTCCAAGGTCAGAGTACATAAACCACCTTGTCACAAAGGCAACATATTTAGTACAATGTAAATTGCAAAAACAAAACACAATTATTTGAGACCTGATCAAATGACCAGGTTATATAACAATACCCAACAGTACCACTCTTTGGAGAAGTTTCGAAATAAAACAATACGTTTCACATTAAAGACAAATCGTATCCAGGGAAACAAGACTTGTGTGCTCAAATCATAAAATATAGATTGATTTGTAAAGGGGAATATCAAAGTTGTTCATAAAATGTGTAAATTTAAAGCAAAAGCTGTCACAATTGGAAACACAAATACATAATACACTGTCATAAAACATAATACCACACCATATAATACATTTACAAGGTCGCTAGATAACTTTTTTACAGGAGGCTATGTTACCCTGTACTTACTTTCACTTTCATTACCTAACATCATGCATTTTACTTGTACTAGTAAAGATCAACTTGATAATATCATATTAACCCTTAGCCTGGTGGCAGCATGTGACCAGTGCAGCCTAAGATCAACTCACACATCCATGCCATCTGATCATGGTCTGCCATGTTTGCTCTTTACTGTCACTTATTTTGAAAATTCTCTAAAATCATGAATGGTTTTGTCTGGATTAAAAGACAGACAAATCTATTAAAGATCTAGGAGGGTATAAAGGGTGAATATTACTAAAGTCTGTACAAGGGGAGTCTAAGATGTGGCACACTTATTATCTCTCATGGCCAAACTCAAAGTTCGTAGTTTTTATCTTTTAGACTTCTCAAAGGATTCCTTATACCCAAAAGTTTACAAAACTTATTCCAATGAAGATCCTTAATGTACATAAACATGCTTGATGGCTAATTTAATATTAATTCTTTTAATACTGACATAAAAACTGTTTAAAAAAAAGTCCCCCCCCCCCCCCAACATCTACACCTTACCCACCCCAACTCTCATATGCATAAAATGTTCCACTTTTTTTCTGTATTTCACTAAAAGCAGACTGCTTTTAAGGCAATGACCAAATTTTAATTTTACAAAATCCTATATGAGATCTTAAAAATTTCCTGGAAATATGCCCTAAAATATTGAGATTGTATCTTGGTGCAATTTTCAGAGTGGCAGTGTGGTATATATTTATTTCAGACAGTGTACAATGTATTTATTTTTCACAATCACCTGTCTCTTATGTGATAGACAAACTCAGCACAGCACATCTTACAATATGCTTAACATAATCACAAATCAAATACAGTCCAATATTTGTGTATTTTTTACATTTAAAAATCATCTTTGTAAAATTACTTTGCTACTTTTTGACAAAGGGCTAATAGACATATGTGTGTGTGTGTGTGTGTGGGGGGGGGGGGGTTCCCCCTCATGACCTTTCCTTGTCCACTATATTAAAATGTTTGTATCTTAAAATGGCTATCTTCTAATCATAAAGAATCATATGAATGATTAAAAATTTAAATTCTTCAAATTTCTTTTCAGAAAAAAAAACAACTGACACAAAGAACAAAAATAAAGTAATAAAAAATTATCTGAAATTTTACCACACCTGTGCTTATTTTACACTGAAGAAGGTTTCAACCATTAAACACATATAAATTTCTTTCTTATAAAGTATCAAGTAACTACTAAGAATTGACTGGTTCATAAATTCTAGCAATTTGCCCCATCTTTTAAAAGCTTAATCTAGAAATTATTGGACTGTATCTGTTTAACATTGTGACACTTTACAAGCTATAAATATATAGGAAAGAGATAGAAAAGATAGAAGAGTGTAAAAAAAGTATGGTGTAGCATAGTTACCTTCTATTTGCCTGTGGTTGTTGCTGGTGAGGGAATTGCACAGTTTGTACCTGAGGTCTATGGGGCTGATACTGTAGCCGAATCTCTCCTGCAAATATGTCCATCACATTTAACAAAATTAAGAAATAAAATTATTTAAAAGTATGTCCATTGTATACAGAAAATGGGAATCAAGGAAATAATACATATTGAAATGTATATTGCTACAAAAGAAAGAATATATATTCACACTTAAGACTAAAATATTAAACTAAATTGACTTTGTATCATGAATTATGTATTGGTTTTAGTTCTTTACTGGGGGGGGGGGGGGGTTACAAAATATATATCCTGTTATTGCCTGACTAGACTGTAATATTGTAAGTATTATGTTACATGTGTATGGGCTGGTGGCCTGATTATACAATAAACTTTCGAATTTTAAACATACCTGAATTCATGAAGGTTTAATTTTTTAATGTAGCTACCAACTAAAACTAACCAAAATCCATTTGATTTATGATTCTATTTAGTGTTATTGAATACTAAAATTTGTCCATTTACTAAATTGGAAAAAAGGATCACAGCATAAAGGCAGGAAAATATATGCAAAAATGCTAGTTTTATTAAAGTAACCAAAAATAATAGTAATGTAACTTTTGTAGAGGTCCACTATGCAGTGTTACATACCAAATATCAAAGCTCTGAGCATTGTTTACGTACAGCTGAAGATTTAAATGTGTTTTCATATATCAGTATATTTATCCTAACTGACCTCAAGTGAGGCTGATAACATATTGATAAGAGGAAGGCTAAACCTGTGTTCTGCATATCTTTACATTTTTGTAAATAGTTTTGATTTCCTTCTATTTGGTTCAAAAGATACAGAGCAGAAGCAAAACTGCCAGCATAAAGATTGATGGCCAGAAGCATAACTTTGACATAGAAATTCTTTTCATCGTATAAAAATACATACAGTATAGCTATACTGATATAAATCTTCATTGAAATGAAATATTTCACCGTTAAAATCTAGTTTTTATATAATTATACAGAGCAAAATAGAATTACCTTGACTTGGTGCATGAGGCCTGTAGACAGTATTAGCCATCTGTACTTCCACTGGGAGACTTTCACAACTTTCACCACCCCCATTCTCCACCTTCCCCACCCCGGGGCTTGATTCAAATGACAAGCCTTTAGCACTAACTGTTACATGTTGCGTAGGAGTTTGTACTGGTTTGCTCACTGCTGACCCCACCATTGTTGTCTGTTGTTGTTGTACATGCGGTTGCTGGTGGTGTATCTGCATAGGCATTTGCATATTGGGTCTGTACACACTCTGGAACGTCTGAGCGGGCGCTGTATTACCTACAGGCACCCCTTGTATGGGCAGCACTTGAGGTGCGACCGGGCGTATCGGGGAAGTGAATGACTGCGGGTGGTGATAGTGTTGAGAATGATGCATGTTCGGGTGAGATGTTTGAAACGATGACATATACTGTGTGTTCTGTGCCTGAACTCCGCCACCTACAACAGCCGACCCCTGAACAATCCCTTGGGTCTGCTGCGAGGCTATATTCACAGCACTCGCCATATTCATATTGTTCAAATTCACAGGCTGTGCACCTACAGTGTTCAATTGCACATTTGGAGTCACAGTGGAGTTTTGACTAGGAGGAGTGTTTGTTTGATATGTCGTCCCTTGCTGTCCACTATAAACATAGCCCTGCTGAACAGGCGCTTGAGTTGATTGTTGATTTTGTACTGTATAGTACATTGGAGACTGATTAGGCGCAACTACAGTCTGTTGCTGCTGGCTAAATGGCACTGGGTAATTATATCCATTAGATCCTTGACCAGTCTGACCCTCTACGGGGCTTGTTACACTATATCCACACTGAAAATTCACATCACTTTGACCTTGACCTATAGTCTGACCTTGAGAGGTCATTGGATACATTTGATTACCTTGGAAACCCTGTATATACTGTTGACAATATTGGTGGGCAGGGTACTGTTGCCCCTGATTATTTCCTTCTACCTGCATGCCCTGCATGGGCGTGAACCCTTGCTGACTTTGAACCCCAGAACTGGGCATACCATATGAACACATATATCTAACAGGATGTTGACCAGCTGTTGCAGGATAAAACATACCCTGTAAAAAAAATATAAAAGGAAAATACAACTGCATTAAATATGATAAAACTTCTCAAATTCAAAATTGCGCTGATTAAAACCAGCTTAGTGATTTCCATGAAAATGAGGCCATTTCCAAGACATATTTCTAACTGAAGTTCAAAAATATTGTTTTACATTCCTAGATACCACACACACATTTGAGGTAAGATGTACAATGTATTACATTTCATTTAACTTTAACCACTGAGGCCGTTTGATTATGAACATCTTAACTAAAATAAAATAAGTCCTTGAATTACCTTCAGATAACTTTTAAGAAAACTGAGATGTTTAAACTAAAGTTTACTATAAAATAAACTAATAAATAGAAAAGCAGCATTCATTTTCTAAAAGAAAACAAAATTTCTTTTTTATTTCCACTGGAAATAAATTTGTAAACCATAAAGAATGGATCAAATTACAAAAGTATCAGTTAAGAAATTACCAGTTAATGGTTAACACCTACACTGAGCTTTTAAGAATTAACATGAACATATGTACTTTAAAGTTGAATTTAACAGAAATTGTTTTTGGACAAAATGATAATGTGTGCACCATATAGTTTTGATTTTGTAATGTAATAGATGTACCAGGAAACTAAAATTCTAAACTAGGGTTTGATTATATGACATGAACCTTTAGCGTGCTGGGTGGCAAATGATTCAACCCATACCACCAGTGCAGACCAAGATCAGAAGGCACTGATGATCATACTGGTAAATTTTCTTGTATCAAACACGTCAGCAGAAAATACAAAAGATTTTTTTAATGTAAAAAACACGTACATTGGGCCATAAGTATTCAAACTAATTTTAGAAAAACTAATAATTTTGCAGAATGAATTAAATAAAGATCCAATTTAAGCCTGTTTGCAAATACTATATTGTCTGTTTTTGTTTTTTGTTTTTTTTCTTTGCAATTTCAAGATGGCAGAACATGGTCTCGGAAAATCTCATGAAAAATGTGAACTTGCGGGATTATGTTATTGCTGATACAGATTTTAAGTGTATGACGCCATAATTTCCTCTTCATGTAATATAAAGCTTCCTGATTAAATATCAATGTTTACAGATTCAATATACAAGTTTGAACAGATTTTAATAAACAGAATAATTTACAGACAGTTAAATGGTTGTTGGTGGAGTATTTCAACTAAATTTTTCTTTTCTTTTTTTTTGTCTGGGTTATAATCACAATCACACAACTTTATATGGTAATTTTCCACCTACAGAGCTGGATAAAGATTTATAATACCATTATATATATATTAGTTTACAATTTAGACACACCTTTATAATTGAGTATAATCAATGACTGAACACTGAACACTTATTAGTTTCCTACAACCATGAAAATGAACTATATAAATACAACATCAACAGTCTGATTCTCCCAGTCATTTGGGATTTATTCATGATTAACCTGCAGTGACTTATAAATAAACATGAATATCATTAGTTATAAAGATTTTAGACAGGTTATATGGCCAAAAAAATGAATGTAAGCTTATATAACCTACACTATTAAGTGAAGGCTATAATGCAATCAACCATATATACCCAGTTACATAACCTGTCTGAAATATTCTTAATACTCTTTCATACATCACAACCTCTTTATTTAAGAAAAATAAAAACTGCTTCATAAATATACAGAAGTCATGTATATAGATCACATAAATGTCAAGATTTATCAAATGAAAACAAATGTTACAATCATGTTGTATTATAAAGAATACACTGTACCTGTGATTGACCACCAGACATCTGTTGTGGAGTAAACACCTGTTGTCCAGGCTGTACATTTTGATTAATTATCATCTGAGGCTGCTGTTGTTGTTGTTGTTGTTGTGAGGCAGCAGATGCACTATTATCCCCACCTGCTCCAGTGCTGTCGACAGATGACTGCGGTGTGAGACGCATAACCGACAGCTGTTGACATACGTCTTGTGACGACTGAGACTCCTATTATACACAATCAAAGATATTACATGATTCATTTGATCCACACAGACATTACATGATTCATTTGATCCACAAATACATTACATGATTCATTTGATCCACAAAGACTTTACATGATTCATTTGATCCACAAAGATATTATATGATTCATTTGATCCACAAAGATATTACATGATTCATCTGATCCACAAAGATATTACATGATTCATCTGATCCACAAAGATATTACATGATTCATTTGATCCACAAAGATATTACATGATTCATTTGATCCACAAAGACATTACATGATTCATTTGATCCACAAAGATATTACATGATTCATTTGATCCACAAAGATATTACATGATTAATTTGATCCACAAAGACATTACATGATTCATTTGATCCACAAAGATATTACATGATTCATTTGATCCACAAAGACATTACATGATTCATTTGATCCACAAAGACATTACATGATTTATTTGATCCACAAAGACATTACATGATTTATTTGATCCACAAAGACATTACATGAGTTATTTGATCCACAAATTACATTACATGATTTATTTGATCCACAAAGACATTACATGATTCATTTGATCCACAAAGATATTATATGATTCATTATATGATCCACAAAGATATTACATGACTAAGATGATCCACAAAGATATTACATGATTCATTTGATCCACTAAGATATTACATGATTAATATGATCCACAAAGATATTACATGACTAAGATGATCCACAAAGATATTACATGATTAATATGATCCACAAAGACTTTATTACATGATTTATTTGATCCACAAAGACATTACATGATTTATTTGATCCACAAAGACATTACATGAGTTATTTGATCCACAAAGACATTACATGATTCCTTTGATCTGATTCATTTGATCCACATGAATTTGATCCAACATTACATGACATTTGATCCACAAAGATATAACATAATTCATTTGATCCACAAAGATATTACATGATTCATTTGGTCCACAAATACATTACATGATTCATCTGATCCACAAAGACATTACATGATTAATTTGATCCACAAAGATATTACATGATTAATTTGATCCACAAATACATTACATGATTCATTTGATCGACAAAGATATTACATGATTAATTTGATCCACAAAGATATTACATGATTCATTTGGTCCACAAATACATTACATGATTCATCTGATCCACAAAGACATTACATGATTAATTTGATCCACAAAGATATAACATGATTCATTTGATCCACAAATACATTACATGAGTCATTTGATCCACAAAGACATTACATGATTCATTTGATCCACAAATACATTACATGATTCCTTTGATCCACAAAGATATTACATGATTCATTTGATCCACAAATACATTACATGATTCATATGATCCACAAATACATTACATGATTCATTTGATCCACAAAGACATTACTACATAACTCAATGCTCAAATCAAGAATATTCACTCCACAATTATAAACATTGTTATTAACTTACAATTATCTGTGTTTATATGGTACAAAAGGACAATTCAAGCTCTTTATGAAGCTTTTTGAAGCTTTACATGCCTTAATGTTATTCAATAATATTCTGACTCAACATTATATATGAATTGAAAAGTAATCTATTACAACTGACAAAGTTTGTGAATCCAATATTTATACCTGACTGATTTGAGTTGTCCAGTCTTGTTGTTGTTGTTGTACCTGATACACCTGTGGCTGGGCACCCTGGGGGTAGTGTTGTACAGGCTGGGGGAGGGGCTGTCCTGGCATGTACTTGTATGCTGAACCATCGGGGTTCACAAAAGGCATACCTGCAAATAATTGTTTTAAATAAGCAAATGAAACCTTCCCATTATTCTCAACATAGCATTCTCTGTTTGGCATAGAAATCCCATGTAATCTTTCACAGAAACCAAAAAGAAACCTTTTGTCAAGTTTATTATTAGACAAATTTAAATTAGATAAAATCTGAATGCTGTAAGTTATATACATGTAAATATTCACAGAACTGCTCTTGACATTGCTCATATTTGCCTACTAAACTCCTGCTTTTAGGAAATGATTAACATGCAATTTTTACATTTTAGTATTCATTAATATTAATCCCCCAATAAAATGCAAGACCATGGTTTTACAAAAATTGATAATTTCCTGAATTCAAAAATTGGTAATAAATTCAAACACAACCATTTATTCTGTTTACTCCCAATACTTCAAAGCAAACTTCAGGTTTTCTAAAAGTGAAATGTGCTATTCTAAGATAACTCGTTTCATGTAATTGTCGAATCAAAATAATTGAGGTATAAATGAAATTTGTCATCAATAAAATACATAAACATTAAGGAAACCCCTGGGTACCTCTATTCTACCTGTCTACTCTCTATATGTAAATTAGTAAAGTCGGCGATTGGTTTCCCAATCTTCTATTTTTAGAAACGAACATCACTGCATGCTTTAAATAGCTCCCGGGGCACTGTTTTGAAAAAGGCTAAACAGTGATATAATGCACTTTTTCTGGGTAATATTACTGAAATACTTTGTTTGAAACAGCACAGAATAGTTTTCCAACAAAAACATAAAAGATGAAGGCTGTTTTCAAGTGTGCATGGTTTTAAACTGATTATTTCACCTTTGTATAGTTTCGAGTTTATAATAGATCCCCTGAAAATGAAATCTGATCAAATGTCATGCACGCAGGGGCGCAAAAAAGTTTACCTGTCTGTGGATTGATCACTACACTGCCTGCAGGTATAGAATTGAGATCAGATGCCACCCAGTATACTTTCTGACCTGTATAAATATATATAACAATAACATATCATAACTGTAGCATAATTCCGGAACACTTATAATGGGAATTAAACACTTTATTTAACATATTCAAACAAAATTATCAAAAGTGTCTTAAAAACAGTGAACTTTTCATAAGAGTGCCTCAATTCTGTAAAAGTAAAATATCAATCAATTTTTTGCAAACTAATGCCAAAATTTCCTAAAATGTTTTTATTTATATGTCATGAGTATAATTATACAACAAGGAACATCGCAATGCGATGCAACCAGGTTTTCAGCAAAATATTTCACAGAAGCTTTGTCATGAAGGGGCATTTGTTTTTAATTGAATTTTTTAGGAGGAATTAATGGCTTTTTTAATATTCCTCAAAACAAAAAATGATTGAGAAATTTTTATTTGTCTATTTCGCCTTTTTTTTCCCCAAATGTTTTAGAAAGTAAACAGTACTTTATTTTTGCTTACTGTTTGAAGTTGCGCACTGTAGAAAGAAATTGTTCACTAATATATTCTGTATAAGGAAAAAAAATATACAAAGGCCATAATTCGGTCAAATATATCCCAATCACAAAAAACCCCGACAATATGTGCCAGGCACTTGATAACAAAGCTTCTAAAAAAAGTTTGGTCAAAATCCGTTGAGAAATTGTAGGAGGAGTTGCGCACAGAAGAAATTGTTCACTATATGTTCTCTGTATAAGGAAAAAAAATATACAAAAGGGCCATAATTCGGGTCAAATATTATCCAAATCACAAAACCCCCGACAATATGTGCCAGGCACTTGATAAAAAAGCTTCTAAGAAAGTTTGGTCAAAATCCGTTGAGAAATGTAGCGAGGAGTTGCGCACAGAAGAAATTGTTCACTATAATTCTAATATAAGGAAAAAAAAACAAAGGGCCATAATTAGGTCAAATATATATACCAATTGCAAAAAACCCTGGCAATATGTGTCAGGGCACTTGATGACAAAGCTTCTGAGAAGTTTGGTCAAAATCCGTTGAGAAATGTAGGAGGAGTTGCGCACAGAAGAAATTGTTCACTATATATTTTATTATTAAGGAAAAAAAAAAACAAAAGGCCATAATTAGGTCAAATAATTATCTAATCGCAAAACCCCGACAACATGCGCCAGGGCACTTTGATGATGACAAAGCTTCTGTGAAAGTTTGGTCAAAATCCGTTGAGAAATGTAGGAGGAGTTGCGCACAGAAGAAATTGTTTACGCCCGCCCGCCCGCCACCCGCCCGACATACCTCAATCTAATAAACCAGTTTTTTCCTTCGGAAAACCTGGTTAAATATAATAGTCTTTATCAATTCGCCTTCAACATATGTCTGTAAGTAACTTTATGTTAAAATATGTGCAACTTCTCTGAACTTTTCATCAAAAATACATGAATCATCACTGTATTACTCAGCCATGAAGAATATTTTTATTTGAAGATGTACACTGTAATAATGGATTATTTTCTTATTTCTTATCTACAAAACAAAAGTCTACATCACAGCAACATAATTTCAAATCACAATTTCTTAATAATACTCCTATAAAATATGGTACAAAAAAAAAGAGTACGTAAAAAAAACAATTATAATAAAAAATTATAACAAATTTACTACAACAGAAAAAAAATGCAAAAAACAACAGACAAAGAATAAAATATGGTCGTAAACTACCTTATTCCAGAAGTAAAATTATAGTAAAACTTCCCAAATTAACAAAATAAATAGTATATATTGAGATATATTCATTTCAGCTTGACTATGATAGAAGCTTGAAGCTTATATGAACCACTCTCAAGTCAGCTTCTACGAACTAACCAGTACTGGTCTAGTATGCAGAAACATGGATGTCACCCAAGTAGGGCTTGAACCCATGATCCCTTGGATATGGAACCAGACAACTCAACTACCAGGTCACTTCTCAAAGTGAAGCTGGCAGTTAAGGTTACATTTTGTGCGAGTATTTACGCTCCAGCTTAAAGAATGCATATATTAAGGCCAAGTTAAAGTTGTCCTGAAAATAAAACGACAGACAGGCAAGACAAAAACTACAAGTCCCCTAATCAATCGATCAATGCTTGAGAGCTTAACAAATGTCTGCAACCTTTTGTAAAGTTAAATTTATCATTTACAAGCACCCTCTTACATATAGATATAAAAGCAAAGATAGATATAATATATGAGCCGTGTCACGACAAAACCAACATAGTGGGTTTGCGACCAGCATGGATCCAGACCAGCCTGCGCATCCGCGCAGTCTGATCAGGATCCATGCTGTTCGCTTACCAACTCTATTACAAGTGGAGAAACTGATAGCGAACAGCATGGATCCTGATCAGACTGCGCGGATGTGCAGGGTGGTCTGGATCCATGCTGGTCGCAAACCCACTATGTTGGTTTTGTCGTGACACGGCTCATATGTATAAAAAACCTGAAGTCTCACACCATATATACATGACTGATGAGATAATGAAATGCTACTTCTAGACGTCTTACCCAACAAGTCATCTTTTTGTTTTGTTTTCTTATTATGTATATATTATGTTTGAATATATTCAAAAGTTATGATTGAACTATTTTTCAGTAAATAGTGGATATAGAATGAGTGTAAGATCAATACCAAATTTAGTGAAGGAGCCGAATAAAATTATATTACTTAACCCTCTCACAAGCATATTATTCAATCAATGATTTCAATAAATTCAGTATAAATGAACCTACACGGATATAATATTCTATTTATCACAAACCAAAAATAAAGACTGTTTCAAGTGAAAAAAAATCTTTTTTTCATTTGAAACACATTATAATAGTGTAACACTAACATTAAAGCTAGTCTTTATGCTTGTATAATGCAAATGCCGTCTTGTCACAATATATGCACCATTTTTACGGAATCACAAAACTGGCACGGGCATGTGATAATGGGTAAATATTAGTGCGGATAGATATTTGAGTAAATTTTTTATTTTGTATTCAGATAATGTTTTAACTTCTGCGATAAGCAATGCCAAATTTTGCACTGTTTAAAGTATCCTGAAAATTTAAAATGAGTTAATAACTCAAAATTGTGTTCAAACAAGTTGTATACAAGCTCTTGATGTTTTCATAGATATCTGTTTTGTCTCTGATAAGAAGTCTAGATTTAGCAGATCACGAGAAAACCTTACGTAGTAAAATCACCAAAACGTTATACACTATACAGTAAAATAACAGCACAGCAACCAGGAGAAGATATATAACTGATCAAAGCAAACTATAGGGTTGGTCATATTGCTTTATTACAGCAACAGCATTCTGTGTCTATCAAGAAAACAAAAGCTAGAAAATAAATCTTGTAAGCACAGCAATTTAATATAACACATCCCTATTTAAGTAAAGTTTGTCTGTTTATCTAGTTATTTAAAAGGTAAAAAAAATTCTAATGGCTGGAAAAGGGTTAGAGGTTATTAAGAACAGTATTGAAGCAGCCTTTTTATAGAAAATTTATAGGAAATCAAGGTATGTTTAATTGCTATATTAAAAGGCCAACACCAGATTTAACAAAAGAATTATATAAAATCCAGCCTTTAATATTCAAAACAAGGATTGTCTTTAAGCTTAAAGAAGCCATTTCATAAGTTGTTTTAAAAAGCCATATCATAAGTTGTTTTTCATTAATCCGTAAAAAAACTAGAAATGTGTCCATAGGACACGGGTGCCCCCACCGCGCCACTGTTCTGTCAATCTTTTTACTAAGTCAAGGGAAATTACTCTACAAATACTGGATAACTCCACAAGCAAAACCCCAGGTGCAAATCTAAATTATGCTGAGCAACCTGCCTATAAGGTTAAATGACTATGTCAAATCCTTTTTGAGTTACTTGCGACACAAGTTGAAAATTGCAAAAATTTTCTAAGTCAAGGGCAATAACTCTAAAAATACTAAATAAATCCAGACGAAAATACCTGGTGCACATGCTAATCAATATTCCTGTAAAGTTACATGACTCTAGGTCAAATACTTTTTTGAGTACCTGCGACACATGTTGAAAATTGCAAAATTTTACTAAGTCATGGGCAATAACTCTGAAAATACTAAAAATATCCAGACGAAAATACCAAGGTGCACAACTACACATGCTGATCAACATTCCTGTAAAGTTTCATGACTCTAGGTCAAATACTTTTTGAGTTACATGTGACACAAGTTGAAAATTGCAAAATTTTACTAAGTCAAGGGCAATAACTCTGAAAATACTAAATATATCCATACGAAAATACCCAGGTGCACTACACATGCTGATCAACATTCCTATAAAGTTTCATGACCCTAGGTCAAATACTTTTTGAGTTACATGTGACATAAGTTGAAAATTGCAAAATTTTACTAAGTCAAGGGCAATAACTCTGAAAATAATGAAAATTTCCAAACGAAAATACCCAGGTGCACAACTACACATGCTGATCAACATTCCTGTAAAGTTTCATGACCCTAGCTCAAATATTTTTTGAGTTACATGCGACACAAGTTGAAAATTGCAAAATTTTTCTAAGTCAAGGGCAATAACTCTGAAAAAAATTAAAATTTTCAGACGAAAATACCCAGGTGCACAACTACACATGCTGATCAACATTCCTGTAAAGTTTCATGACTCTAGGTCAAATACTTTTTGAGTTACGTGCGAAACAAAAGTGAACGGACGGACGGACGGAAGGATTGGCAGGACGGACGGACGGACAAGGGTAAATCTAAATGCCCGCCACTAACGTGGGGGCACAAAAATATATATATATTTTTTTTCGCAAAATTTGTTTACCTAAAGATATATGATATATTTGTAGAGAATTATGAAGGGATGTGTTATATAGGTGGTCTAGGTAACTAGGTGTCACACTCTCCTCCTCTACCTGTGTTACCCTGCTGCTGCTGCTGCTGCTGGGGTGATGGTGCAAGCCCAGAGGAGCTCCCTGTTAGAGAGGAGGCTTCTGATTGGCTACAAGTGGGTGATGACATCATATATGGTCTGATGAATGAACCATAATTTGGTTGGATCATACTCGCTCCCATGCTCAGAGAGTCTAATCACCAAAGAATAAAGTATTATAATGTTACACAGGAAAATTCTTTCTAGCTCTTCTATATGTCACAGCTACATGTATCTTATACAAAATACAATACAGGTACTATAAGTACATTCATTTGATTTATCCATTAAATTTTCAATTCTTAACCTGCATGTTTGACTTATTCCCCAAAAATAAATTGTATCTCATTACTATGTCACTCTTACATAAATTTACTTTTAATTGATGCTAAATAGTATATGTTCATTGGTTTTAATAAAAAAGTTGGGTTTTTTTCCGTAAGAAAAAGTTACAGAATTCAATACGAAAAGACCACATGCTGGTATTTATACATATTTCATATGCTAGTTAATAACCGAAGACAAATGGCATTCATGAAGTAACTAGTAAAAAGTTCATCATTAAAAAATACAATTATAGCCCTGTCTTATTTTATCATTGCTTAATTTTTAAAAAATATAACGCCATGAAGTCCTTGTAAAAACAAAATTATTATATACTACTATTAATTTGTCTTTTTATTCCACTTTAAGAATTCATTAAAGAATATTTAAAGAAAAAAGATTTCCATGATATATTACAGGCATTTATAGCCGCATATATTTCAAGTCTATATATAGAAAGATAATTCTCATATCACACATGTATATTAAAATTTATTTATAGAAAGGGGATTCTCATAATATTGCACATGTATATTATAGAAATGTGATTCTCTGAACTTTTTAAGACTATTTATAGAAAGGTGATTCTCATATTTCTCTTATATATTTTCTAGCTATGACAAAGTGAAAAGGTTAAGACTAAGCACCTAATCTGTTCTCTACAGTCAGTATAACCCCTTCTCCATAGACAAACATACATATATATATACAAGTTGTCAATTCTTAAATACTTTATATATGTATAGTAAAACACTGCAAACTGTTATCAAATCCGATTCACGAGTGCACAACAAAATCCAAACAAGAAAGAATACCACAAATTACCACAACATCTTTTCTTTAAAGATAAAAATAGCTACAAAATTTTCGATCTGATTTTTGTTAATTTTTTTCACTTATTTTTTTTTTATATCTACAATGAAACGTATGTGGTTCATTTTGTGGTCACTTTCAAATGAGACATTAGTGACAGAAAAGGTTTTTTTTGTTGCTTCAGTGTTTCACCATGTAATTGTGGGCATATTACCTTCGTCAGCCGAGTTATCATCTAGTTATAAAATAATTACAATAAAATAATCACTGATTTTTTTTCTCTCACTTCAAATGAAACCATTTTATTACACTAACAAGTAAATAAACATGTGATCACTAGATTAAATCTATAAATATTCTTACATATATGAGCAATAAAAGAAATCAAAGACTTCTCATAAATAATCTTACTCCAAAATTAAGAATATTTTGGGATTTCCAAGCTAACCTGGTGGTACAAACAAACTTTTCCAGTTGCAAGATCGAAAATAAACGCACACTTGTTCATTGTAACAATGGTGCAATGTGCAGCTATAGCGAACAAAGTTTATTTCTACCAGGGATAAGCTTGGGGGGAAAAAACCCACATTTGCCGAGTTCCAGTTAACACCTATCAGGGTATATGTACTGTATTTAGATCATGTAAACAAAACTGCGTGTAAAACTGCGTCTGATAAATTAAAAAAAAAATTTATTTGTCTTTGTTAAAATCAATTTTAAATGAACATGGCTTACCAGCTTTGGAAAGACTGCTGCCTCTCATAGGTGACTTTGAATGTAGAACAAAGGTCCCTGTCCCGCCGAAACTGTTTGCTTTTGGCACAAGAATACGTGCAACTTTTTCACCACTTCCTATACTCCCATAACCACTAGACTCTGTACTGCTCCAGGGGTTCTCATCTTTACTTCCAAGGCTTATTGGGCGTTCTATTTTCTTCCTGTAAAATAAATATATCCTTTTGTGCATTTCACCACAGGTTTTTTACCGAAATTAAAGAATAGTTGGTGCATTTTATCAGATTTTTTATATTAATTACAAATTTATTTACGTATCGTAAATAGAAATATGTCACAGGTAATGTTTTTCCAGGTATTCATTTTTTTAAATTACTTATACCAATAAGACTTGATAAATCAGACTTGAGGGTCAAAATTTCATAAAAATCACTCTTCTATTGTGACCTTTGTGTATTGAATCTTGGTCAAGTTTCAGAACTTTATCCATTAAAGTCCTACAGACAGTTACAAACAGACAAATAGTGTTCTTATTACATGGCTATTCCAACTGCATGTACATGTATATATCATTTATCTTTAATATTTAACCAACCTTTATGGTGCTGGAAATGAAACTTCAATGTAGAGAGACAGGTCAGCCAGCATAAACCTGCACATCCATGCAGTTTAATCATCTGACAAGGCTCTATACTTTTGGCTGATCAGTTCTGATATTTTAAAACTGAAATCCCTTAAACTTCTAATGAACTGTTCCCAGTTCAAAGACAGCAAAGTACATTTCTTAAATACAGCAGTGTAAGGTTTATATTATGTTTAAATATTTGTCCTGAAATAAGATTAAGCCTCAGTAAGCCATGTTGGCAATAAAATACACATGGCTGAATTTTATTACAACAATGTGACCTTTACCAATTTTCCATTCCATATTATATTGTCTTATATAGTCCTTTACTATTCCCTCATGATTTCATATTTATTTCAATATAAAGGCTTGACAATGAGTCAAGATTTTTCGGGTAAACCATGAAATATGACAGAATCATTGACAGTTTCACATGTAGCATTGTAATATAGTAGAATGTAATTGCCTATAAACTTACACAATCCCAGTTATTTTAGGGTCCTCCTGACAGTACCCAGTCGGCTGCGCCTGAAAATTAAAGAAACATACTGATCCTGAAAACTATCCTGTAATCAAACCATAAAAAAATAATATGTTATACTCTAGTTAACTGTAATCATACAAGTCATTCTCAACGGGGAGATAATAATCTTTATGTTCCCCAACCCCACAAATGATCTTTTCAGTACTGAAGTGGGCTTTATAGGTCACTATGTCAGCATCTTTTACAATGAAACTTATCTATTAGGGACACTTTTTGTTACAACTTTAAGAGCTATAAGAATAAATATCTGACTGGCATTTCTCTAAAACTGCATGTTTGAAATGTGCTACATATTTGAATTCTGAAAGTCATTAAAAGTAATATATAACTGCAGGTGGTTATACGGTAAAAAACATGTTTATATCTGAAAGGACGTAGAATTTATTATGGTATACATTACATCTCTTAATTGATTTTTCTACAAAGATTATCTTGGTAATTGTCATATTTATTTATTTCTCAAGCATGTTTCAAAACAACCTATATTCCTATGTTTAAACTTAACTTTTTTGTAATAATTTTGTTTTAATATATCTACATTAATGATGTCAATGTAAACATAGTACGATTATTCAATCACATACTTTTCATATTTATTACAAAAATAAAACACATGTTTGATAAAATATTGTTGTTAGTGTTAAAGCTGCATGCCTCCAGATGGGTCAAAATATTTCAATAAAATCAAACTTGAGAAATATGTACTATGATTTTAGGAAACGTAAAATGGTTCCAGATTCAAGTAATATTTTACATGTTATGTGCGGTTAATCACTGATTTTTTAATATTTACAACTATATTTCTACTGCGTTACTAACGCAGTAAGGGCTATTTATGCATATTTTGACCACTTTTTGGTCATTTACATGGATTGTAAATGCCATTGATCATGTGTAAATGGCTTCTTTTTGGTTATTTCACAATATTATACATTCAAATACATTTTCAAACTTTTCATGAAAATTAGCATGAATCTGGAGGTGTGCTGCTTTAAAATAATAACATGAATATGACAGATACTGCTTTACAATATAGGTCAATGGGGGTAGTCATTTTGATCACCCAAGCTATCCATTCAATTCTTTTTTCTCATCTTGGCTCTATCTGAACCTTACCTATGCTAAATATTTCAAATGTAATTGCTGGACAAAACCATTTAATATTTTTAAAGTAAATTTTCAAAATAAGAACTGGCAAACTGTGAAGACCTTGATCGGATGGCATAGATGGTGCTAGCTGATCTTGGTCTGCACTGGTTGCAATGGTAAAAAAATATACTAATCAGTAGGCTATAGGTGATAGAATATTTTGGTTCATATTTATTATTTCTTTCATTTAATTAGAAAATTTCCATCATAGCATTCTGTTTAAAAACTACTAGAAGTATGTTTAACCGAGCTTACAAAATATATGAGAAAAACAAGGTATGTTTGTAAAACATGTATGCCCCCTATCAGCAGCCAATTATTCATGTGATAAGGTAATTATGCATGACTTCTGACCCAGTGATCAAACAATTAATAAGGGTTATCAAGTATCTACTGGTCATGACCTTGACCTTTGACCCCTTGACCCAAAACTCAATAGGGGTCATCTGCTGGTCAAGACAAATCATCATACAAAGTTTGAAGTTCCTAGGCCTAAGCGTTTTTACTTAATTGATCAGAAACCGTTTTTACTTACAAGGTCAATGTGACCTTGACCTTTGACCCCTTGACCCCAAAATCAATAGGGGTCATTTGCTGGTCATGACTAATCACCATGCCAAGTTTGAAGTTCCTAGGCCTAAGGGTTCTTTTATTATTGATCCGAAACCGTTTTAACATACAAGGTCAATGTGACCTTGACCTTTGACCCCAAAATCAATAGGGGTCATCTGCTGATCATGACCAATCACTATGCCAAGTTTGAAGTTCCTAGGCCCAAGTGTTCTTTAGTTATTGATCAGAAACCGTTACTTACAAGGTCAATGGGACCTTGACCTTTGACCCCTTGATCCCAAAATTGAAAGGGGTATCTGCTGGTCATGAAAAATCACCATACCAAGTTTGAAGTTCCTAGGCCTAAGCGTTCTTAAGTTATTGATCAGAAACCGTTTTTACTTACAAGGTCGATGTGACCTTGACCTTTGACCCCTTGACCCAAAACTCAATAGGGGTCATCTGCTGGTCACCACCAATCATCATACAAAGTTTGAAGTTCCTAGGCCTAAGCGTTTTTAGTTAATTGATCAGAAACCGTTTTTACCTACAAGGTCAATGTTACATGACCTTTGACCCCTTGACCCTAAAAACAATAGGACATCTGCTGGTCATGACCAATCACCATACCAAGTTTGAAGTTCCTAGGCCTAAGGGTTCTTAAGTTATTGATCAGAAAGCATTTTTACCTACAAGGTCAATGTGACCTTTCCCTTTGACCCCTTAACCCCAAAATCAGTAGGGGTCATCTGCTGGTCATGACCAATCACCATACCAAGTTTGAAGTTCCTAGGCCTAAGGGTTCTTTAGTTATTGATCGGAAACTGCTTTTACCTAAGAGGTCAATGTGACCTTGACCTTTGACCATTTGACTCCAAAATCAATAGGGGGTCATCTACTGATCATGACCAATCACCATATCATGTTTGGAGACCCTAGGCTTAAGGGTTCTTTAGTTATTGATTGGGAACCATTTTTACCTACAGGTCAATGTGACCTTGAACTTTGACCCTTTAACCCCAAAATCAAAAGCAGTCATCTGTTGGACATAACCAATCACCATATCAAGTTTGTAGTTCCTAGGCCTAAGGGTTCTTTAGTTATTGATCGGAAACTGTTTTACCCAAGAGTTCAATGTGACCTTGACCTTTGACCCCTTGACCCCAAAATAAATACGGTCATCTACTGATCATTTCCAATCACCATACCAAGTTTGAAGTTCCTAGGCCTAAAGGTTCTTTAGTTATTGATCGGAAACCGTTTTTGCTTACAAGGTCAATGTGACCTTGACCTTTGACTGACCCTAAAATCAATAGGGGTCATCTACTGATCATGACCAATCACCATACCAAGTTTGAAGTTCCTAGGCCTTAAGGTTCTTTAGTTATTGATCGGAAACCGTTTTTGCTTACAAGGTCAATGTGACCTTGACCTTTGACCCCTTGACCCCAAAATCAATAGGGGTCATCTACTTGTCATGACCAATCACCATACCAAGTTTGAAGTTCCTAGGCCTTAAGGTTCTTTAGTTATTGATCGGAAACCGTTTTTGCTTACAAGGTCAATGTGACCTTGACCTTTGACCCCTTGACCCCAAAATCAATAGGGGTCATCTACTTGTCATGACCAATCACCATACCAAGTTTGAAGTTCCTAGGCCTAAGGGTTCTTTAGTTATCACTCGGAAACCATTTGGTCTACGGACCGACGGACCGACGGACCGACAAGTGCAAAGCAATATACCCCCTTTTTTTCAAAAGGGGGCATAAAAATTTCTAATTTCTTTCACCTTTCTGTATCATTTATGTAAAGAAAACATTTTTTACTCAGTGTACATTCAAACTTGTGTCTTTCAGACTTAAATCATTTGAAAAAAATAAATCAAATGAAAAAAAATATGTTTTTTTTCTTCTGTTTATGAGAAATGTCTCTTCAACATAAAGCATATGCGCAGGTGCCATTTACAGGAATAAATTGACTAGCTTCAATAGTATCTATGGTAATAAGTAGATATAACCAAATGGAAGTTTTTGTATGTTTGTGTTGTATGTACAGTTTACAAATACTGGCAGTAAACAAATATTCTCCAAAAAAGTTATCCAGTATTCAGTACAGGCAACAAAACAGTTATAATATATTAACAAGGGACATTTCTAAGAAATACAGGAACCACTATAACAGGCAAATGCTTACTTTTCACTTCGTGTATATAAAATACATGTATATCAAACCTTTACTTTTTGCAGAGAAAATTAATGAGGTTAAATTAAAATGATAATTCCAACCTTAAACCAAAAATTTAATAAAATGCCGAAAAGAATTCAATAAATCAAACCAAAAACATTTCATTTTCCAATAAAAGGTATGCAAGCTTAGATGGCAAAAAGATCGCACTGTGAGAAAGTTAGATACATTAGTTGTATACCTTTATAATGTGGCATTTGTAATGCTTTTCATTGGATAATTGTGAAGTTTATATAGTTTTATATACAAGGCTGCTGTCCATTTTTGAACAAAAATCACTTTTCCTCTAAAAAAGACGCTTGCTGTATTATAAGTATTCCTGACAGGTTATATGGCCGTATAGAAACAATTGTTTGTAAGATTACCTTCGCAAAACGGCTCAGGTTAAATCTACAACTGTAGATATAGGGCCATACAACCTGTCAAAAATCTTTATAACTAATAGTATATATAGACAGTAAAAGGGTGAAAGGTCATCATGTATATATTACATCGGCTTGTTCATGTCCAGTAAAGATTCGACTTCTCACTTCTTCGTACTCTTGCTGTCGTTCTTCCAGTGATTTTGCACGAGTAGCATCAAGACTAGGTTTCTGTAGGCTGCGAGTCTATAAATATAACAATATTGCATCATGTTTATTTTTAACTGGTTTACTACTACAGCTTGCATAACATTATTATTTAGTTACATTGTTATATTTTACAGAATATGGGCAACTGTTTTGTCAATTACAGACATCTGAAATAGTATAATACTTTCAGTGTCCCAAAATATGTCTCTTGTAGACATTATTCATTGGTAACTTTCCTTTTTTCACTTATAATCAACAAATTAAACACTTAAGGTTTCTAGATTAGTCTTTACTTTAATTTTAATGATCTCTTGTGTCCTTATACCACTTGAGGAATTGATAGATAAATCAGTGTTCTTAATAGTATTGTTACTAGTATTTTAAATTTGGGGAAAGGTCTACCACAATTTACCTCCAACAGTAGAGTTATGTAAAAAATTCTTTCAAATTTAAAGGTATTAAGGTATATATATATAATTTTATTTACTTTTTTTTTTGGGGGGGGGGGGGAGAGAGAACATGGGATGGAATTGGTAAATTTCCCCCATATTAGCCTATTTAGAAACACTTTATACTGCATAATTTTAAGAAAATAAATTATTATCAAATTCTAGCATGGTAATTAATCACATTCTCCAAACATTCATTAATGTTTCAGTAGTGTGTATTAATAAAGCACAGACAAAAATTCTGGAGTCACACTTTTTTAAAAACATTTTTTTTTTCATCTTCATCCCCCATGCCAAGATCATGTGGGTTTTAGCAGCCTACAAGAGGCACGACTATTGTTTGCAGCAATTCAATAGAAGAGAAAATAATTTATTTTCAAATGATGATTTTAATTATTCATGTGCAATAGTTAATAAAAACATCATTTACACCACTGTTACAGAATGAACTTAATGGACTTTTTGGTTGAAGAATCAAAGAAACACAAATATTTCCAAAATGTCTCAAACCATGAATAATTCAGTAAATTAATCTTAAAATAGCAAACTTAGCACTTATTTATTGATTGTAAATCTATTCTAGTAAAAAAGTAAAGGAATGTAAATATTCAACTTAAATAAAAATGTCAGTCTAAGAACATCATAGGCCAAAGTATAAAGAAGAAATAGTTACTGTTACAAAATACTTTTTAATAATATTATTTTCTAATTCTGAAAAGTGCTTGAAAGGGGACAACATGCATGTCTAAGAGTTGACCTCAAAACTGCAGTAACTTATATGAAATAAAGAAGGACTTACAACAGTTTTGCAAGCATTTTTCAATGTACATGTATGATAAGTATCCCACCATTTTGAGAACATGACTTGACTCCCAGAAATGTGAATATTTGCAGTTTTAGACAAAATTGGGCAAAACTCATACCATATTATACATGTATAATAATTGAAACACTAGAAATGTGTCATCATGCCACGGATGCCCCCGCATGCAGCCAAAATTTCAGATGTTATAATATTTAGTTCCAAATTTGTTTGCACAAATTATTGTTTCATTTTAAGTTCAAAGCCCTTTAAACTTTTCAGTGTTAACACAAACCATTTTCATACAATATTCAAGGCACTGAAATTATTCAGTCTTAACCTTTTGAAAATAGCATATTTCATATTTGTAGCCAAAATAATGGCTATACATACATTTCCACAAAAGTATGAGTGCTGAAACAAAAAGTTCAAAAAATTTCCAATATTCAAGAAAGATAAGGTTGTCTAAAATCATTAAACCATGACCAAATTCAAACTTAAACTGCTTATTCCTAAGACGTATCTATATTATTTTCAAAGTAAAAGGGACATAACTCTGCCAAAAAATCATCGAACCATGACCAAATTCCAACTTGACCTGCCCATTCCTTTGACATGTCCATATGTCAAATTTGAGTTGAATATGTAACACTGTTGGTTAGATAATAAACAGAAACTGTAAATTTCATATTATTTTCAAAGTGAAAGGGGCATTACTCTGCCAAAAATCATTGAACCATGACCAAATTCGAAATTAGCCTGGGCATTCCAGAAACATATCCATATGTCAAATTTGAGTTGAATGTGTCGTACTGTTGGGGAGATAATGAACGGAAACTGAAAATTTCATATTATTTACAAAGAAAAAGGGGCATAACTCTGCCAAAAATCATCGAACCATGACCAAATTCGAACTTTACCTGTATTTTCTCATGACATATCCATATGTCAAATTTGAGTTGAATGTGTTGTACCGTTTGGGAGATAATGAATGGAAACTGAAAATTTCACATTATTTTCAAAGTAAAAGGGGCATAACTCTGCCAAAAATCATCGAACCATGACCAAATTCGAACTTTACCTGTATTTTCTCATGACATATCCATATGTCAAATTTGAGTTGAATGTGTTGTACCATTGGGGAGATAATGAACGGAAACTGAAAATTTCATATTATTTTCAAAGTAAAAGGGGCATAACTCTGCCAAAAATCATCGAACCATGACCAAATTCAAACTTGACCTGTATTTTCTCATGACATATCCATATGTCAAATTTGAGTTGAATGTGTTGTACCGTTTGGGAGATAATGAACGGAAACTGAAAATTTCATATTATTTTCAAATTAAAAGGGGCATAACTCTGCCAAAAATCATCGAACCATAACCAAATTCGAACTTGACCTGTATTTTCTCATGACATATCCATATGTCAAATTTAAGTTGAATGTGTTGTACCGTTGGGGAGATAATGAACGGAAACTGATGATGACGGAATGACAGAATGACGGAATGACGGAATGACGGAAGGACGGAAGGACGGAACAGGGTAACACTATATGCCCCGGCCATTACATGGCGGGGGCATAAAAATGTAAAATCTTTGGTTATTTCACTAATAAGCACATTTTTAAAGTTTGGAATGCAAAAAATACAAATTGCTGTGGAATATGAAGCTTAGGTGTCACAAAATGATTCTAATCATATTCTTTTACTTTCTGCTGTTTGAATTGAGAATTTTCAAAGTTGGTGGTGGGGGGAATACTTTTTGGTACTGGGAACACAACCCATTATCAGTATCATCAGTCTTCAAAACAGGCCGAAATAAAACTTGGTCATATTTTCATCAGTATTTGGAGACCTTAAGATTTTAATAACATGCACTAATTGTAATATTTTATGATGGTAATGTGAAATTATCGATAACAATAATCTTGTGATTTTAGAATAACTAAGATACATACCGAAAGTTCATCATAGCTACCACCACCTCTCTGCAGCAACTTCTTAGGTTTAGACTCATCCCCATTGCTAATATGCTCTTGGAAAGTAAAGTCTGGTCTGTAACAAATGTATGTATATATATATTATATAATGATTACATAGAAGAAAAATTATCATTCATAGTTATATCAAAAAGTCTTAATTAAGAAATACTGGTTAACTCTTTTAATTTTTTAAATTCAAAAACCTGTATTTCTTAGTAATTTTACAAGTACAGTACAACCTGTGTAAAGCAACACTTTTTGAAAGACAAACATTTAGGTGTCTGCTTCAGAAAGGTATAAAATACTGTGAAATAGAGAAAAACTAAATCTCTAAAGGAAGCCCTACATTACATAATTGAAAATGAGCCTGTTCATGGACAGAACTGCCTGTTTATGGACAGTACAGGAAAGTGCAAGTTACAGTCCACAACCCCTAGCACAGGCTTAGCAGAATTCAACACTTAACATGAACTGATAAAAATTTTCATTCTGATAAAAATTTTAATTTTAAAACATCTACACAGAAGTCTTCATTTAGGAAGAATTGTTATGGTTTTTGTAAGGTTATTGCTCTACAGAGGTTTCACTGTATTGAACATAGTGTCTTCCAAGAATACATTAGTACTATTTTGTAACACAGATCACAGGCTAGACTAGTTAAAGTATGAAACTTGACTCACTGACGTGAAATTGATAATGTTACAGAAATATTCCAGGTCAAACAAAATCTACATCAAATTTAAGATTCAAACAATCTTATTAAATCAAACAATCTTATTATAATTTAACAAAACTAACTAAAAGAAAGAATGATTGTACACTTACATTCTAGTATTAGCTGTTTTGTTCACTATCACACATTTGCCGGTCTGGTCAACATTGTGGTCAAGCCCAAAGAATGCGGCTATTCTATGGACTAACATTCTATCATATGACGACATTTGTGGAAATTTAAGATAATGATGTCTGCAAAACAAAAACATGGAATAATGAATTTAATACAAATAGTACATTAAATGACTGTATTACTCAAAGACTTATTTAAGGAAGCTAGTTCCCACTTAAAGTAACTGGCCCAAAGACAAATTAAAATTCAATAAGTTGAAACAATATAATTATTAGTTAACTTTAATAATTTCAAGAAGTCCCAGTATGGTTTACTCCATTTTTAATGTATTTTCTGTGATTGTCAAAATAACCTTGAAGTAAAACTGTGTTACATTGTGTAATTGGACTTACATTGTTTTGAATTTGTGATTCAGCAAGGTAAGGGTCAAATAAACTTAATCATGGCTAAATACAGTTAGTGACTACAAATCAACCCAGGGATCATGTGTTTGAGCCCTAATCAGGTCACGATCATGTTTCTTCATATGACACCAGCACTGGTTGGTTCCAGGAAGTGTACTCTTAAGCCATTAATATAAGTTGCAAAAACTTGTTTCACAATGAACCTTAAATAAAAATGTTTAAAACCAAAACCAATCAATGGCCTGTTTACTCACTTTGGTTCTCGTATAAACTTTATGAGATCCACCTCGAGTTTGATCAACATGCTTCTATCTTTTGGTGTTTTATTGAGTGTCTTCTTGATAAAGTCCTCCAGGTCAATCCCTGTAGAGTCTTTGTATGGTGTGTCTACACTCGAATCTGTGTCACAAATACATTAACATATCAGTTGCTGTGTGAATTTTTGTTTTTAAATTCTACAAAATGATGGGATGGTCCGACTGATACTATCTACATATGATTCTTCCAATCTGTATTATTACAAGCATGGGAAAACATTTTACATCAATTCCTGTTGGTTAGAATTATTAGGGATGGTTTGTAAGCCAACACAAAGATAAAATCTTTTAGCTGTATCAAGTACTTGAAAATCTGCTGCAGCAGCAACGACGGCAAAACTACGAGAATTTGTCATACTTTACGACATGTCAAAATTAAAGGATAGTTTTGACAAATAATCCTGTATTTGTTTTTTTTTTAAGATAATACACCCCAGACTTCCCAGCACAGAGCGATTTCTGCGTATTATTATTAACGGCAGTTTTTATTAAATTTACTCCATTGAGGATACTTTCTTGTTTGTTTTTTTGTTTCTTGTTTTTTTTCCACGACCTAGTTCTACACAGTAGACAACTAGGTGTAACATTCATTTTCTTTTTACAGAGACAAACGATAACAATTTCAAGTGTGTTCAACTGAACCATTGAGAAAACCAAACCCCCCTTCGAGACGTTCCCGTAGATTAATTTCAAGCTTGAATGTCAACAGGCATCCAATCACAAACTTAAGTCTCGTTAAATATTATACACTACAATTGCAATTGTTTTGAAATTCTCTGCTGAGAGATTGTCTTATGTAATAAAAGTTTTACAGTTTTATAATTTGACAATCAATTTGTGAAAGTAGGGAATTGGAACCTGGGATAGATTTCATGAATGAACACCTATGACTGGATATATAGGCCAGGGTTTGAAAGCAGTACATTCAAGTACATAATGGAAGATGGGTCACAGAAACGCCATGCAAACCAGTGAGATTAAATCACATCTTAAATACATCTAAAGTACAAGATGCAAAATTGCTACATTCAACCTTTAAAACATATAAACCTCATTCAAAGACAAGTGTTATATATTATATCATAAATATCAAACCTGACTACAAGTAAAATAACTGGTAAGTTTGGCATCAGCCCTCAAAAATTTCATATTATATTTAAATAGACTGGTTTACAACTTCAAGCATGTTAAGACTTTAATCTAGTGATTCCTTTTTTTTAATCCTATTTATTCAAAACGCTTTTTTTCCCATGAAAAATTTCTTGACATTGTGTTGTGAATTCACTTAATTTCGTGGATATGAACTTTCGTGGTTTTATCACAAAGCAAATTTTCATGGGTACTTAATTTCGTGGACTGTATATTTTTCCAAAAAGTAAATATAAATAGTATGATGCAAAATAATCTTAAAATAGACAAAATTAAGTTTCATTGGATCTTAAATTTGTGGTTGACCTATCAACATAAACCACAAAAATTAGTGCCCCGCGAATAATAATGATTTTTCAGTACTCTTTAAAAGAATGAAATGAATTTATACCTCTGGAGAGACTGGACGATGTCCCTGCCTCTGAACTCTGAGATCCGTCCTTCTCTAGTCGACCATGGAAAGAACTGCCAGATATTGAACCAGAGGTCTGAAACAAAAGTAAGGTAACCTATATACAATGTACATGTTAAGGAAGATAGCTACATAAATTTGACATACAAACATACAGACATGCATTGGACGACTGTAATCAGTACCCATTAAGCATATTAATGTACTTTTAAGATAACCCAAGGATGTCAAGACAGTCAAAATCATAAATTATTTGTGTTTGCATCATCATAAGCTTGGCAATCAATTTTCTAGAATGCCTTAGTTTCATTCTAATAACTTGTATACGCATCATATATGGTCATTTCACATGAAAACAATGTCTGGAATACAAAGCCTTATTACCTACTGTGATGATACAAAACTCCAAAAACTATATATATATAGATAAAGATATCTAAAACTTGTAACTGAGCCAAACTTGTAAGAACAACAGATATAGTAGTTTTGAAATGAGAAACTAGTTCATGTCTACAATACAAGGTCATATGGAGGTCTGTATTTCTTATTCTACTTTCTCTGCCCTTTTAGCCATTTATAAAATGGTCAAGGCTTTTAAAAGAATGGAGCACTACATTATTATACATAATTGTAATTACAATTACTAAAGTAAAATTTAAAACTTTTATTAAGTAGAATTCAATCAAGGAAAATACACATGCATATTTAAAACGATATCTCCAGTTTTCTTTTCTTTTTTTCTTTTTTTTCCTTTCTTCGCCTGTCCCCCCTTTCTTTTTTTTAAATGTTCTTTCTTCGCCTGTCCCCCCTTTATTTTTTTTAAATGTTCAAGGTTTTTTTCGAGACACACTAAATATATTAATATGCATTATATTAAGTAAACTCTGAACAATTAAACAGGTAACTAGATATGCTTCCAGAAGAAAATATTATACTTACAAATGAGGATTTAGTTCCGATGCCACTCGAGCTGCTGTCTGAACTACACGTACTTGCCGTACTTTTCAGGGGATCTAACGGTGGGCTTGCACATTCTTCACACAGTGCCTCACTACGTGTTAACTGTTTCAATTTTGGTGATATCTAAAAAAAAAGTTATTTAAATATATACATTTAATTTTGGTGATATTTAAAAATAGGTATTTATATATATAAATTTAATTTTGGTGATATTTAAAAATAGTTATTTATATGTAGATATCACTATGAAAGTTTGTGTGCAAGTATATAGTCTGTATACTTGTAGCATGGGAAACTCTGAAAATGTCTAGTTAAGCCGACCCCAGAAGATAAATAATACTAGCACACTGGCTTATTGGGGGTGCTGCCCCCACACCCCTGATTTTATACATGCTTATTTTCAAAATTACAGCAAATTTCAGAGTAACACAAGGAAAAAAGTATAAAAGCATAGTAACAGAAACAATGCACACTTGTGTCCGTAAAACTAGATTCTATCAACTCATTACTGTCAATAAAATTTAGAAAAAAAATGCCCTTAAACGAATCTAAAATCCTAACGTACTTATTGACAAGAAAATTAGGTAAATGACTTACATGATTATGTTTATGAGATGGGGGTGAAGGTTTGAGATCATCTTCTGGTGAGACGGACTCTGCACTCTCTCCGCTCACCTGCTGTGTGTCTGTCCCTGTAAAACATCAAACCAAGTAAGTATAAGTACTATATATAAGACAAATAGCATTCATGATAAAAAAATATCCATTTCAAATACCCTGCATAGAAATAAACATGTATAAGACCAATAGAATTCATAATAAAAAATATCTATTTAAAATGTTCTGCATAGAAATAGTTACAGCTTGAATAGTTGATTATGAAGTATTAGGAAAATTCAATGTAAAATCTTATTAATTTACTTAGAACTCCCCTTTTTTAACTATGGTACCCTTAAATCAAATTAAATTCAGTTTTTGAAATACATGTTATTAAATGAAATAAATTAATAAAGTTGATAACTCCAGTATCAAAAGGCCAGAGTTCATGCTTCAAATTCCATTGAGAAGACTTCCCCCAGTTGTAAGAACTGCCATACCTCTCAGTTCATAAAGATTACATTTGTAGCAAAGGGCATAAAAATTTCCTAAAGGTTAATTTGATCAGTCTTCTTTTTTTCCCAATTTAAGCATTACAAATTGCAACCTAAACACAAGAGGAAGTGTTTATTGCAGAATGAGAGAAAAAATACATGTAATGTTTTGTATCACATCACCCACTTTCCTGTTTATGCCACAAAAGACTTAATAATTGCTGAAAATCCAAATACCAACAAATAATTAAGTCTTACTAGAAAGGTTAAAGTGTAATTCTTAAAACGCAAAATGTCAACCCTAAACATTCTATCTCTCAGCAGCCCACGGTTATTGGTTAACTGAAGAAAAAAACCGTCTAAACAAAAAAAAAAGTCTTTTCTGGAAGTTAAATCATGAACATATTAATTTTATCATAGGAAAATATTGGTCTTGTTATTGAAAAAACAAGAAGGTATTATGTACACTTCCTTAATTCTGACACATGATATGTCTGCTGAAATTAATATCATAGTATCATTGCAATAAAAGCACATAGACAGTTCTGTGGGAAGATTTCCGTCTTTTAATACAACTTTCATTCCACATTTTAAAAAAAAATTTATTTTTTTTTAAAGTAAATGCCAAATGTTATGTACTGTCTCAAAATTGTTATGTAACAAAATCATTAAATTTTCTTTTTTCATTGTGTATCATATTTTATTATGCAGATAACAATAATAGTCAGGAAATCAATCTTAAGTTACTTTGCTGCCTACATTTCTGGTCTAACTCTCAGTACAGTCAGTGTAATTTCACTCTCTATAAAAACATTTCAAATGTTTAAGAAAGACATCAATATAAGAGTTAAGACTTGTTTATTGTAACTTGATTGGTGGTACTTGATTGGTCTGAAACTGGACTGGTACAATAATATAAGAATCTTACACTGGCTGCCAGTACAGACCGGAATATCTAGCTCGAGGGTAACTGTTTACGGCAGTAACGAGGCTCTGCCGAGTTTCCATTAAACAGTTACCCGATAGCTAGATATTCCTGTCTGTACTGATAGCCCGTGTTTGATTCTTTTTCTTGCATATTACATATCAATAATTTTCAGAACAGAAATTACAAAAACTGATAGTCTCAGTATGCACTTCTTTCTTATAGAAGCATAATGAACTTACATTTTCATTCATAACAGTAAAATGACGTCATCATAAGAACGCAATTCATTTATGAAAGGCCCGTGGCAATGTCATTTAAAGTACGTGACTTGTCTTACATGGGGGGTGTAACACAGGTTGTTCTAACACCGGTGTAAATAGTAGATAATCCTGTCTGATATACAAGAAAACATATATGTATGGACTGGTTTACCACTATACACTCTAGTAATGGTGGTTCAGGACTCGTCTGAATCTATGATATAAGTTTGGACTTATTTATTGTAACTGCTGCAATGGTGGATTTTTTAATTGGTCTTAATCTAAACTGGTACATTTTATAAGATTAAATAATACAAGTTTGGACTGGTTTACCTATGTTTATGTAGTAACGGTGGTTCAGTATAAGTCTGAATCTGGTCTGGTATGATATTATTAGTATATTATACATTGCTGAGTAAAATACTGAAATTTAATGGACATAGCTGTCAAAACCATATTGGACAAGGTACTAGTTGAGTGCGATATAGGTTTTGTAGCAATGTATGAGTCAGTATTGTTGTCAACAATTTGAGTTTTAACATTTTGACAGAAATTTGTTACTTCAATTACAATTTGGATTTTAGGATTGATATGAACATTTTGGACTCAGGAAATTATAAACAAGGCTATATGGGGTATGATTTTGATTCATGAATCTTTTGGGCCCTAGATATGAAAAAGAGGGTATATGCCATAATAGGGTATGATATAGATTTGATGTTGACTTTTTTGACTATGGAAATGAAAATGAGGCTAAAGTGATAAGCTTGGATCCAATAGTGATTTCTAGTGGAGCGTCACATTGTACAAATGCTGAAAGTACATTGCTTATATTTTATCAGGTGTGAAATAAAACCATGATATATGTATGAACTTGTTTACTGTACCTTCAACAATCATGGTGGAACTTAATTACTGTCAATATTACAAGATACATGTTTGGACTGATTTAAACCAATGAAAGGGTGATACTTGATACTGAATCAAGATCTGTTTATGGACTGGTTTACCACTGTTCCAACAATTGTTATTAAGGAATATGACTTTTCTGAATTCAGACTGATATAACATTGCATAATATAGTCTGGACTGGTTTACTGTACCTGCAGTAATGGTGGTACTTGATTGGTCTGAATCTGGACTGGTATCTTCCTCGTCAACTTCCTCTATTTCTGGCTGTTTGCGAAGTAACGCAGACCTGAGGGTGCGGGTAGAACCTGCTGGAGGTGTGTCCTTCACTTCAGAGCCAGACATTTTCACTCTGAAAAATACAATAAACATAACCCAATGAAATATATACGACTAGAAATCTACATTCTAGAAACTGTAGCAAATAAATAGAGCACACCTGACATAGAAATCATAGGTTATTGTTTGACTACAAATGTCCTTTAAATATTTAATTTTTACTCCTCAGATTTGTAAGCACCTTTACTAGTGCTATGAGTTTGAAGTGACATTTATTTATGCCCATCCAAGTGAAAATAGCAGAGAGTGTAGGTAAAAGTCAAAGTAACTACATTTTGCTATAATTGTTGTTAATTTTATATTCTGCTTCTCCAAAATAATCAATACCTCAAGTGTTCCATGGAAATTTCTATAAATATCCTTTTATAATTGACTGGTTAATGTTAACTTGACAAAAAGAGTGGGGAAATCTCTTCTTTTTTTTTCGGCATTTTATCACAAAACATTTGTCATTATCATATCAATTACTGGTCAACCACCACTAAAAGTTCAACAGCTCAACTTGACAACAAGAAAAATGAGTATAACATCTCTTTAAAAGTCATAATTATTTGGTTTCTATTTTTCATATTGTTTTTAATAAAAATTTGTACGCACTGTTATCACTGATTCTTCGATGTGACTTAGCAGTTTTACTCTTTTTTATAATTTCAATAAATGATAAACAGGAAACAATGATGGTAGGTAATAATTAATTTCATCGTTTCCATTTTGTTGTTTTTTCTTACATACTACACAAATTAAAAATTACAGTGGAACCTGTTATATCAGACGTTGTCTGGACCATACGAAAAATAGATTTCAAAGGTAACCTGACCAGATTTCTTAATTTAATTGCTGTCAAGAGTAAAAACTTTACATTGCACCAACACAGTATAGGTCATATGGCGATGTTCCAGCTTTACTTGTGGAGGAAGACCTCAGGTGCCCTTTTATGCATCATTTCAGGCACGAACAGGCATCTGAGTAGAACCACCAACTTTCTATAAGCTAGCTGGGTAGCTTTCTCACATTTAAGAATCCAAAGACATAGGCACGCATCAAACCTACATTAGTGAGAGGTGGTGGCTGAACTTTGCTCTGGTAAATTCAAAGTGTCCTACTGCCGTGCTCCGGAGTGAAAACTACCAACACCACCAGTGATTTGACATCACTGTTTATGTATATAAACAATTACAACATTATTACAAAATTAATTCAATTAACATCCTTCAATATCATAACTAAAATGTATCCTATATCAACATTTTACTATGCATGTATATTATCACTTATAGATTGACACAATCAATTAAAGTCCTGTAACTTAATACTCTATAATTATCTAAAAATATCTGTGAGTTTCAAACATAAGTATTCCATATTCATGTAAATACACATACAACAATCCTTGTTATTTAAAAGCACAGTTACTAATCAGTTACTTAATCAATTCACCAAATCTCACAAAGATTTTCATTCAAATAATTCTCTAACTTTAAAAGACTATGAAATAAATTCCTCCAATAAATTGTTTTATCTTCACAATAACTACCAGTGTAGCACACAACGTCACACTGTCACATACACATATACACCAGTCACTTTAATCACACATAAAAAATCGGTAAAAAAAAACACCAAAAATACCAACACTGTTTATTTTCCCCGATTTAAAGAAAATTCATCAAGAAGATGTTTAATGTCAATGGAAAGTATATAAACAACCAGCACAAGAAATGATAGACAATCACCTTAACTATGCTGTAAGAGTTTTGTGTGTGGGAGGGCAGCCTAGTCAACCTCGATCTCGTCTCTAATGAAATTTTCCAATACAAACTCACTGTCCAATCCAAGTATGTTCACGTTTAGTTAGTATTATCATTAATCACAAAGTTGTGTAAAACAGTTTTGTTTGTTGACTTTCGTTTTGTTTCCAATAAAAAAAGCCAGCATAAAGCCACTGCCAGTGCTGAAGAATTCCAATGATTGTTCCTTATTTATACTTCTTGTGAACCGCAAATAGCCGAAATTTCAAGCTGTTTTAAGACAAAACATGTCAAGTTTTAAGTTTGAATCAATCTTTGGCATCAAAATGCAAAATATACCATTACAAAATAAAGCAGGGTCAATCATTGTAATTTGTAGATTTGTTGAGATCTGTTTTCAATCGAACCAAAACTGAAAGGTACTGCTTGAGACTTTGCAGCTTTACTGGTGGTAGAAGACCTCTATTTGTGTATTATTTCATTTTCAGGCACAATAACACAGGCAGAACCAATGACCTTCCGTGACTGATTCAAAATTGCATTTAGATAAAATTTTTAGATTTCACTTTTATTTAAGGCAACAGATGTACATTTTGTACTGCAAACAAAAACAAGAGCTGTCCGTAAGACAGCGCGCTCGACTTTTTTATTGCTTGCCAATAAAAAAAGTTTTTGCAGTAAAAGGCAATACAAGAATCTCTGTATTTTTAAAGTGAACAATGGCCATGAGCATTAAGATATTTAGTGAAGAATTATTTTACTGAATTGTGTGATACCCTTGAACACTGCAGCAAAGTTTGAAATGTTTAAGTCAAAAGAGGGCTGGTAAGAAAGAAAAAAAAACTGAGTTGAGCCTTAAATAAATTTAATAGTATTAAACCCACTTTGAGAGAATAAGGTATTTTTACGTCACTCAGAACACCTTGGTAAATGACATAATAAGTGCTTGCCTATAATACAAAACATTGACAGTTAAGGGCCATAATTCAAATAAAATCTTTGACAGAATTACCTTCTCCTGGACATGTTTGGGAATCATGATTGTAAACAAGTATTCCAACTTTCAAATTAATATCTCAAACAGTTCAGTCAAAAAGTGGACTGGTACTAAAAACTTAACCAAGATTCTAAGTCGATAAAAGGCCTTAATTTTTAAAACAAATCCTTGACAGAGTTACCTTCTCTTGCGTACAGATGGGGGTAATGATGTGAAATAGCATTAAAAGTTTCAAAGCAATATCTCAAAGGGTTAAGGCAATAAGTGGATTTTACCCATATTCAATGTATTTTCTAAGTCAAAAAGGGGCATAATTCTGTCAAAAACCTTGACAGAGTTATGTCCTCTTGTCTGTTGATGAAGGTCGTGATGGTAAACAAGTATGGTCAGTTTCAAAGCAATACCTCCAATGGTTTTGAAATAAAGTGAGGTGGTACAAAAAACTTAACCAAGCTCAATACACTTTCTAAGTCAAAAAAGGGCCATAATTCTGTCAAAAACCTTGACAGAGTTATGTACTCTTGTCTGTAGATGGAGGTTATGATGGTGAACAAGTATGGTAAGTTTCAAAGCCATACTTGTAATACTTCTGAAATAAAGTGGGGTGGTACGAAAAACTTAACCAAGGTGTGACGCCAACGCCGACGCCGACGCCGGGGCGAGTAGGATAGCTCCCCTTTTCATAGAAAAGTCGAGCTAACAACCGATTTGGCCAAGGATATTGAAAATTCAACCGGTTTTAACAGCATTTCAACCAATGATATAGATAGCCAATATCTCAACCAATGATATGGATTGCCAATCTCAACCAATGATATGGATCACCATTCTCAACCCATGATATGGATCGCCAACCTCAACTGATGATATGGATCACCATTCTCAACCCATGATATGGATCGCCAACCTCAACTGATGATATGGACCGCCAATCTGTTAATAAGGAAAACCCGGAGTATACCTTCAGTATCTGGACATTTCGTACAATCTTCAAAATTAACAAAAGACAACTCTTCTTCAAAAACTCATACTTTGTGAAACAATTCTGGCATTTTACTAAGTGAAGAAAGAACAACACACACAATAATCAATTGGTAGGATTTTAAAAGACCTTACTAACTTAATTGATGATGTTAAATTCATCAGCACTGAGAATACCTAATGCACTCTAGTCAGCAATTTTCTTCGATTCTGATAAGATTTGAACCAATTATTTGCCTAATATAGCTGTTATATCAATTAAGTAAAGTTTGTCAGGGACCTGTAAATCAATATAAAAGATATTGTAAAACAGTTTCAATCAACTTCAAACATTTCTACAAGATATACAAATGTCTTTGTTTTCAGTATTTCAAAATATATCTCTTGACATTTCACATTAATCTATAACTGTATTCTATCAGGCAATAACTTATAGATAAGGTTTAGAAAAGATCTAAAAAAATAGCAACTTATTTTAAGGTCTGCAAGTGTAACAGCAAGTATCTTCATGAAATGACATGACAAAAGTCATTTGTATCAAACAAATGATGAGAATTTTCAGAAACAAACATAATAATGGGAATTTTTCAAACAATAATGAATATCTTGGGAATATAAAGTATGTAAAGAAATGTACATTTTTGGACAAAAAAAAATACATTTTTCAGGTGCATAATATGAATGCTTTACACCCCTTTCTATTGATAGCAAATACTCGAAAAATATAAACATTTCATTGTTATTGCATCTCATTTGAATAATGCTTAGTAACTTATTCATTATCATTTTAAGAACAACAATACCAAACTATCAGTTTCATAAAAGTACAAAATTAATATATGCAATCCTGGCGAAGAAACATAATTATGAGATTCAAATTTGTTGTTATAATTAAAGGGCTACATGATACATCCTTGCAGATTTTATATATTAATTGTGGACTTCTATTGTTTCAAGCTTGTTTAAATTAATATATTTATACACCATTGTTGCTAGTAAAAACAGTTCTTAAATTTTCATAAAAACTCACAACATGCTATAACATCTACATAATTATATGAAGTACAAAATCAAATCCTGATTTCGGACAGGAACATAAAACTAGCATGACCAGGAGATTGACCTTGTAGGTTCAGTAAACAGACATGGTTTTAACTAAGTACTTTATCTAATAGAATAATTCTTCTCCCTATATAACATGCTATCTTTATTTTCATACATTAATTTCATATTGATTTTTCCTGACTCTTCTCCCATAAAAAATATCTGACATAATAAACAACATTT